TAAGTTGCTCTACTTTAGACATGAATTGTAAGTATTTATTTACTTATCTAAAATTTGTGCACTCATATATTACGTACTTAACATATTTTTAGTTCTTTTACGGTATGAATAAAAAACTTACGATGTCATATCGAGAGAGACAGCCAAGTGATAAGCAGACTTAACAGAAAACACCCCATCCCGAGTAAAATGCCAGATCAACCGATCCTCCATATTATGGCGCGGCAAAGGGATAGTCTTAATGAAACGGCAAGTGGGTGGGTCAAACCATTGACGGAGTTTGGACTCACACCAACGTCCCTCCCCCTGGAAAATCAACTCGGCCACAGTAGGGTCCCCCCCCCCCCCCCCCCCCGCTGGAAGCACTACAGGGTTATACCGCGGAGGATCTAGCTGCATTTGAGGTATCCAAGGGGACCGAAGTAGAGACGCCGACCGGCCATTCTCAATCTGCCACCTGAGACCCATTTCAAGCAAATTTCTTCCAAACAGGACGCTCTGCCACCCCCAGGATGGGCGAGATCGCGCTTTGGCAGAGAGAAAATGCCCAGAAGGAAAATACTTTCCCTTATAGACTTGGGCCAACAGGGAATCAGGTTCCATAATTATACGCCATCCTATTTTGGCAAGCAGAGCCTGGTTGAAATGTTCAAACAGGCGAAACCCCATCCCTCCCTCATGCTTGCTCCTGCACAAATCTCTCCAGGCCATCCACCGAACACGCGCATGACCCTCATTTTCACCCCACCAAAAGCGGGCCACATGTTTATCCAAAAGGCGACACAACGAGAGGGGTAATTTAAAGCAGGACATCACATGCAATGGTAACGCCAAAGCAATAGACTTAATAAGTGTCTCCTTGGCCGCCCAAGACAAAGTCCGTCGCTTCCACCCCTGAAGCCTAGCCAAAAGCTTTTCCTCCAAATACCGAAAAGTCTCCAGTTTAGAACGCGCAATTAGAGTAGGGAGACCTAGGTATTTATCACGCACCCCTACCGCCCCAACACCCAAGATCGCGGCCAGGAACTCCTGGCCCTCATTGAGAGAAAAATTGATGTTCATCCTCGGTGCCCGGTTTGTTGGGGTGGCCCGGAAACGATGGAGCATTTGTTCCTCGATTGTCCAGTTGCGCGTGCGCTTTGGGGGTACTCAGGGTTGGAGTATTTAGGTGAGGGCCTGCCTAGGCATACTTTTCCTCTGTTCCTTAAGAAGTTGTTGGCCTTGGTCTCGGAGCCCCAGCTGCTTATGCGAGTAGTCTCCGTCCTTTGGCGAATCTGGCGATCTCGGAATTGGGTGGTATTTGAAGGCAAGCAGTATGCGTTCCCAGCTTTAATGCGTCAGCTTTCCCAGCAGGTGGAGGAATGGGTGGGCTTGCCAAAGGAGGTTTCCCCCCAACCTCCCATCCCTGACATTGGTCCGTCTGCTCAGTCTAATTCTGCTCCAGGGATTGTGTGCCAATGGGATGGGGCTACTAGGAGGGGGTCTCACTCGGCAGGGGGTTGGGTTCTCTATGGTATGACAGGGAATGTTCTCCTGGCTAGTGGGGTTCAGTTTCTGGGGATTGATGAGCCAGCTGTGGTGGAGTTGCTTGTATTCCGGGAGGCAGTGCACTGGTGTTTAGCACATGGTTTTTCGGAGGTAAGGTTTGAAGGGGATGCTCAGGTGATCATTGATAAAATCAACAAGGCAGATATTCGGGATAACCAGATGGGCGCGGTCCTTGAAGAAGTTGTACATGTTATTAGCGCTATCCCTGGTTTTAATGTTCGATTCATAGGTCGTCGTAGTAATAGGGTAGCCCATTTGGTGGCTAGAAAAGCCCTCGCTTTGTACCCGACTATGAGTCGTTTATTTGACTTCCGAGCCTGGTTAGTGTCCAGGATGTAACTATGTTTTCAATCAATATATGATTATCTTTTGTCAAAAAAAAAATGAATAAAAAACTTACGATTTTACGCTTTAATCCTACGCTTTACGATTTTACCCATTTTCCGCTTCAAGATAGAATCGCTCTTTTGACTGCATTGGTTTGACTTAAATAAAAGAATCCGGAAAAAGTTTGGCTAATAAATAGACATTACCCTAGAATAATCAGAAATCAATAAACAAAGTATCTTTCAGTTATCCCTCATCTCCACTATTTCCTAATCCTCTAAATCTCGTCTATTCTCCTTATTAAGGTCGTCGGCCGTTCTATTCCTCTTCTGCCCAATTTCATCTTCTAAGTTCCTAATCCCCAATTTTATTCTCCCGATCTAGATTCCTAGTTCTATTATAATCCATAATCCTCTTCTTAATTATCCCAATAAGTGATTATTTTTCAAAATAACACTGCAAAATGAATACGAATCCCTAAAATTAAATCGGTATTCTACAATACCAAACAATAATAAATTGAGTTCAATATTCGATATATCTCAAGTACTAGTACCAAATTTCCTGCCTGAATAGTGTGTCGCAAATATATAATCCAAAAGACCAGCTTGGCATTTGTCTTGATATTGCTATTGAAAAGTGTACTAAAGCTGTAGACCAACTAATCGGGAAACCATAGGCGGAGCCAAGGCCAATTGGATGTGTCCCGGAACACAGGTAACTTTTGGGTAAAATAAAATACCCATATATATGTATCAATTAAGGATTGCACTCATCACCTTTAGGTAATATAAAAGTGAATTATCACTATACTACAAGTTATTTCAAGTTTAAAAGCTAACATAAACTTATTTATCACACTATAAACAAAATCCACAATACTGAAAAAATCGACCACTTTGTTTTCTGTAGTTAGTTTTGAGTCTACTCGTTGCAACTGCAAGTGTAAAAAAAAAAAAAAATTTCAGCTTTGAGCTATATCAAAAACAAGTTTCAAAGTCAAATTGCGACCAATTTGCTAATGGTAGCTTAGTCGGATACATTGAGAATTTGAAAACGTATTGTAAGTGCTCATGAAAATAATGATTGTGTTAGTCTAGTATTTCATTAATATCTATCAATGAATTATTTTGATATTATTAGTTTTAATTATATTTATTAAATAATTATATATTTATATTATGGAAAGAGGACACATGTACTTTCAAACTCTAGCTCCGCCACTGCGGGAAACCCTCAGTTCATCCAACAATAATCGAGAAAGAAGTGAAATTCTGGCAAATTGATTTCTCATGCAATTGAAATCTGATCCTGGAATTAACCAGAAGATGCCAGGACAGGTTACGGTGATTACTACTTACTACAAAGTAGTAATCACCATGATTACTAAGGGTAAATTGGGTATGAGAAAATAAATTTCATTTTAGGTAGTTACAAAAATCTATTAATTACAATTTTCTCTCTTTCTCTCACTTTTGTAATCTCCAGCCAGATTCCCTTCCTTATTTTTCTCAATCTATCTGCAAAAAAAACACGAAATCACTACCAATCCATTAGACAACCACTACCACTTTGAAAAACATAAAAAACTACTATTACACGAAAACTACCAATATAAACAATCTACCAATATAAATCTATACCATTTCACAAAAAATCAATACCATTGCAGAAGAAAAAAACAAGAAACCAATACCAAAACGTTAACAACTACCACTGCAGCCTACACGAAACACTACCACTACCACTTATTAACTACTACCATTGCAGATTTAACAATACCAATGCATGAAAATTAATACCAATAAGATAATAATAATGCAAAAAATACCATTATATGATATTCAATACCAATGCAAAAAAGAAATACAAATATGAAAAAATCAATACCAATAGAAAAGAACCATATCTGAAATCCGCCCGAGAATTCGATGCGCCAAATCGACGACATGTCTTCGGTCTCGCCGAGTAGAGAGAGTGAGGGGAGGGGTGCATCGTGGAGGGAGAGTGAGGGAAGAAGAAGGGCGGCGGTGGGGTGGGGTGGGTTGGGGTTGGGAAGATGAGTGCAGCAAGGGCGGGGAGGTTCTCGGCGGGTAGGGATAGGGAGGAAGGGGAGATGGAGATGATTGGAGTTAGAGATAATTATTTAGGGTTTACATAATATATGGAAAATCATATTTTAAGGATGGTAATCTGGTGTATCTATTATTTTTTTCCAAACTTATCCCTAATAATTATGAATGTCGGTTTAAAATATTGAGAATGAATGGTGAAGATGTAGGTAGTCACGATGGCTGCTAAAAATTGATAACCATCCTAACTCATCCCCAGAGGCAGATGGCCCACTACAGAAATGAATATGAAGATGCAAAATTTCTATTTAAGAAATGTACTTTTTAGTAGTGTAATAATCCAATTGGAGACTTGGAGTTATTTATTTTTGTTCCGAACACTTATTAAATTCCAATCTAAATTTGTTGCCAATTGCCAAGTTCATGGTGGGCTCAGTCCAAGATAGGGGTGTGCAATGGTCCGGTTCGTACCGGACCACACCGGACCAAACCGTTGTTAAGACCGGCCCTGACCAGACCGAGTAAAATGCGGTCCGGTCCTTGGTCCTCATGAATTTTATAATTACTGAAGAAATAGTGGACCGAGCTCATATTTGGACCGGACCGAACCGGACCAAATGGACCAAATGCAAGAATGGTCTGGTCCTTGGTCCTAACATGTCTTTCACTAATGGACCGCAGTTCTCATGAGTTTGGTACGGTCCGGACAGAACCGAACCATTGCACACCCCTAGTCCAAGAAGACTTGATCGGATTGGATTGATAGTGTTGGCCGAAATTTGAGTTACTTTTTTTATTTATTTATGGGAGAGTTACTTTTTTTATAGGCGAGATTTTAGTTTATTTCCAGGTAGCGGAGTCCCAAATTTTCTGGAATGGTTTATTTTTATTTTGACAGTGAAATTTTCTGGAATGGTTTCTAAGTGAAATTTCCGTCCACAAAGTTTGTGTTTTTTTTAGGGATCATGCAGTTTCATATTCTCATGCTTCACCTATCAACGGTACTGCTGCTTTTTGTTTATAGTATCAGCCACTGCCATAAATTCATATGATCCAAGATATTCATCGATAAAGAACGAAACAAGAAATCTATGAAAGAGAAAATAAATGAGAAAGATCAACAAAATTTGCCCTAAAGATCAACAATCATGAATAGATGGATACACTGCTTAACTCGCGTACTCTAAGGTTAACGTGACAAAACAACACAAAATTCTTAATCCATAATTATTGCATCAATGGGAACCAAAATAAAGACACAAATGGCAGAAGATAGCAATGGTATTTCTACGAAACAACCAAAACTTAACTGTGGTTTTCAATTATAATCAATCAAGATGGTCCCAACGCAGTACTACTATTTGGGAGGCTCTGCAAAAACATGGCTCTTGCATTGGGGTCGGCTGAAAATCGTCCCAGTACAGCAATTGTAGCTGTACTACTTCCAAACTTCTCAATGCCTCTGGAAATCATACATGTGTGCCCAGCCTCTAAAACTACCATCACATCTCCACCTACTAAGGACGAAACAGTCTCTGCAATTTGTCTAGTGAGTCTTTCTTGTACTTGGAGCTTGAAGCCATAAAAATGCACAATTGATTTTAGAAGGGACTTGGGAATAGGATTGAACCCAAAGTACCCTATATGCACAACTCCATAAAAGGGCAGCAAATGGTGCTCACACTGAGACCAGAAAGACAAGTTTACCTCGGTCTGCAACTGCTCTTGCTTATGGTTTACTCCTGGTTCTCCATTTGCCTTCAGTGAATCAACCCCTCTACCGTAGACAAACCCATTTAACTTCATCTCAAAACTAGTGTTTTGGAAATTCGTAAGCCACTTTACGAAACGAACTGGAGTGCCAACTAGCTCTTCTCTCGAAGGGTCTTCCCCTAAAGACCTGAGGATTGAATCCACTGCTGTAACCATCCCTGAGTTGAGTTGCCCGTTTATGGAAGAACCTTTTAGACTTGACCAAGATTGTGATGGACACCATGAGGCTATAGAGCCTTCTGCCAGGAAATTGTCGATGTTTATGCCTCTGAACTTCAGAAGGCTAAAAAAATCACTCCAGCTGCCACCCTTATCATTTTCAAAAGCACCAGTACCTGAACGGACCAAAACCTTCAACCATCCCTGACTATTGGACTCCATAAGGAATGACTCTAAGCTTGGGAAATGCATGTGCCAGCACTGGAGCACGACAGCAATACCTGCTGGCTTGATCCAATGATGAAGAGCTGAGCAGACTTCATTTGCTAGGCGCTGTGGGTCTTGGAGTCGCTTTGCAAATACATCAGCCACCCTAGAAAGCTTGCTTAACCCTACAACTCTTTGACCAGATGGAATATAACCAACGTGGCACTTGAACTGGAAAGGAAGCAAACATGACTCACAGTAAGAGAAGAGATCAAGATCCCGGACAACAACAAGGCCACCAGCTCCCCCTGCATTTCCCACTGCAGCATCCAAACCAGCTTCAGGGAACAAAGCCCCTTCAACTATGTCTTTCACCTTTTGCTTATAACCTGTAATTGTTAGGAGACAAAATATGTCATTAGGAAATACTACATTGAAAGTTCAAATAACTCAAAACCCATTTGCACGCAATGCAGATCATTGCATCGGAATCCAAGATCCTCCTCAGACTTTTCCCGCAAAATTATCAGCAATTCAAATTAAATTTCTTTGAGGTTCAGTTGTTTAATTAAAAGACGATATGAGTTGTCTTATCCCACACATAATCAGAAAACAAAGGCGAAAAGGTTGAGTACGATCAGCTTATGGGGTAAAACTACTAACAAATACAGAAAAAACGATGTAAATATCAATATCAAAGTTCCAAAAATATGCACAGCACTAACATATACGGCAGAAGGTGACACACATAGGTAATCCACCATTCCTACACGCTAAAGATGTGGAGTGGTGATACATTAGAACCCATTCAAACAATGAACTTTAGATTCACTTCCCATCTAGGATACTTGTTTGTTTTTTGTAGAATCTAGGAATAGGGTAAATTCTATGTAGAAGCAAACAACAAAAGCATAGTAATAAAGTCGAACAGTAGAGGAAAGGGAGGAAAAATGTGGTACCTTTAGTGCCTTCTCGTAGAGCCTTAGCAACACGAAGTGGAGTCTTTTTTATTCCTTCTCTATTGATATCCTCCCCCAAACCTTGTAAAAGGACTTTGACAGCATCCTCAATAGCCAAAGTTTCGGGTTGGCCTTCAATCCCCTGAGGCGGCTCTAGTTCCACTCCGTTCTCAAGCACCTCATGGAAATGCCCCTCATCCAAAGCGCCCATTTACAGAACCCCACGAGAAGGAATCAGCGCAACACAGCTTATACCAACCCACCGCCGACACTTGGATCCCTTTCAGACGAAGCACGAAACTTTCAGAATCGGCACAAGTTCAAAATCAAGAACAGAAGGAAAGTTCAACAGGTCCCGAATCCCGACCGCCCTAAACAATAAAAACCAGGGCTTGACGGGAATTCCATGCCAGATTTGGAAAAGCTCCACCTATCCAGATGCGGAACGAATCAAAATAACCCGCAAATAAGGATCCCCCGCTATTAATCAATGCGAAAAAATTGAGAGGAATCAAAGGGTACCCAGATGATGCACTAATGATACAGAGCAAACCCAAGTGAGAGCAACCAAATAAAACTGAAAATGGAGATCTCAAGGATACTCAGATGGCGAGAAGGAGCAGGGTAAGAACTAGTAATGGAGAATGAAAGGAACGATGGCGGCTGAGGGAAGAAAAAGGAGCTGGGGGAAAGGAGTTGAGAACGTGGGGTAGCCCTTGATCCTTTGGAATTTGTGGATCCTTTGCTTCTGAAATCTGGGTGTGGATTATGAAGAAGAAGTGGAGGTTTCATTTATTTATTTATCACAGAAATAATAATAAGGATAACAAATATATTTCTTCCTCATCGGGAAGTGGGGCCATAATCACCAAACGAAGACGGAGCTTGGTGGCTGCAAGGGCTACACTATGTATGGCGGTAGGCGATGGGTAGGAGGGAAGGGATCTATGTCGGGAAATCGATGAGCTTTCGCTGTCAATTCAATTGGGAGAATTAGGACTTTCATTTGTTAAAATTTGGGAACTCGTTAAAATATACTAGCTTATTACCCGGCCCGTTGGCCTGATTACTGTATGTTACCCACTTGTGAAATGGGAGAGAAAGCAAGTGAGAGTGAAGGGATTGAGATTCCACTTGATTAGGACCGACCCACTAATCCGATTCTTCCCGACCCGCCCCAACCTAAAGGGTCAGAAAGAGTTAATAAGAAAATACGAACAGAAAGGATTAGTAATATATCTTGACTCTTCATAAGTGGGTCAAACAGGATCAAGGTTGGGTGAGGGCAATTTTTAGCGCTAAGCAGGGTTCTGGGTTGAATAACTTTACTTAGGCCTAGAAATTGGTGCTGATGCAGACTGCAGTTTTTATTATACCATCATCAATCATCATTGAATTAGTCCTGGGCATTCCTCCCCGTTGTCGGTCTGAATTCTAATGATGGCTTCATTCCTTGCACCAGCCATATCAGCGAGTTGTCATCTCGAGCATGATTTGCCTATGTACAAATGATACAATTAGAGTATGAAACTGAATTCAAAGAAAAGGAAAAGAGAATTCTATCACATGCCAATAAATACACACATAATAGTTGAAGCTAAGTGAAAGTCATTACTCGCACATCAATTCTCAAAAATTGTAGACTAAACAATGGCTAGAATGGCACTGAAACTACCAAGAATCATGGACGAAACAACTTGTCAAATTAAATAATCCTTATACTGAAACTACCTTCTAACTTGAAATAAGACATGATCACAGTTCATAGCACTCTTATCACTATGAATTGGTTGCAGCTCGTCCTTATCACTGCCTCCCAAGCTCAATTCAAACAGAATAGAGACCGTTATGTAAGATAACCATATCCTTACTGATCATAATTCCTTTCTTCACTCCATTTTTTTCGGAGAAAAGAGTTATCCCTCTCTCCTACATTTCCCTTTCCCCCTCTCTTTCCCCTCTTCTTCACAAACCGATCCCTAAATCAGCAACAACAACACAAAATAGCCTTCGCCTCTGCCATCTCCATCTACTGAACGCGTTGGTGGCAAGACAGGACTGCAGAAGCAAAATTTTCTAAAATCAAACTAAATTTTTTGAAGGAGACTCAACCACGAAAAAAGAGTAAAGCAACAATGCTAATAGTTCAGATGGTTGGTTTTGATGTTATACGTTGCTTTTGTTATGGTCTCCAGTATATCAACTGCAACAAAGATGTTTCTTCCAATCATCTTTAATGCACGATTTAGAAGTAAGTCCTCTTGTTTGTGTCAAACGGAAACATTCATGGGTTCTTAACTCCCCTGTTAGTGTAAATGCAACAGCAGCAGCAAAGAAGTTTGACAACACAGCAAGCACCCAGACAAAATGATACAATGCAGTAGGTGATATGTGTCTCGAAGGTTTTGAGTTACTAAACTTCATGTTAAAAATAAACATGAATTAAAATGGATTATTCTATTAAGCAAACATACCCTCTAATCATACAAAGATCAGATATCCAATTCACAAACAATTAAGCCATAAAAAATCATCACACATCCACCACCTTTGATTGCCTAAATTTGGTTTTTCGCAAAGTTATGGACTCTTAAGGGTAACGTTCATGGGTAGTCTGTTTCATAACTCTAGAGAGAATAATAAGCAGCCACCAGCCAGACACAGTGCGGTAGGCGAATATGATTCTCAATTCACAATTTCTCACCACCGGAAGTAAGAACAGACCATAATAAGCGTAACGTTCATGGGTGGTCTGTTTCATAGCACTACTACACAATTTGTTAAAAATGAAAGAAAGGTATTTAGCATCACGGCGGAACAACTTTTACAGGCCAACAACGACAACATGCTGCAACCACCAGAAATGGTATCACAACTCATAGGGAAAATCAAAAGATTTACTCTCAAATTAAGTAGTTACAACATCGAGCAATCGTCAAGCACATACACCATCACAAAAGTCGCGGAACCTGATTCACAAAGCATTCAAACATTTGAGGACATTTCTGCAAAGGTACAACTTATATGTCTTTTTTCCAAGCCATTTCCATCAACATGCTAATAAATTTGCAATGCATAAAACAAACGTGCCAAAACTTGAAATTCAGCTTGTTTGACCGACCCATGCCAAATTCTAATTATTCTTTACTTTTAAACTTTCTATTTGAAAATAAAAAATAGTGAAAAGAGACGACTACAATTCGCCATTTGCACATCACTTATTCGGGAATAAAACCATAGAAATTCAAAAGGAACTGAAAATGTTTAGGATCGTTTTAATGTTTAAAATAACCAAATAGATCTTTATGTTTAGTTTTTTACTAACAAATACCAAACGAATTCCTATAAAACACACTATAATTTGATCAATATGATGTCAAATAATTATAAATAATATTTGAAATGATAAAAATTGGAATAATTGGGTTGGTCGAGGTTGAACCATTGAATAACTTTAAAATACATTATATTTTAGCCACTAAGATATAAAATAATAGCATAATATATATTATGCCAGAGAAAATAGTTTGTTTTACAATGGCAAACCAATGATGTTCATTTGTTTTACTTGATGGCCAAATCCCATGTAGGTCAGGCCCATTCAACTCTTTTATTTTATGGTTAGCGGTTAGCCCATTAGATACCATGCATTAGTTTATTGTTAAATTTTTTATTTTTAACAATAAAAAGAAGTATTATTTTTGCCTTTTCATATATATTTTATCACCACGGAGAAATAAAAGGGTATAAAGAAAAAAATTGACACTCCTAGACCCGTTTAAATCCGCATGTGTACGGTAAGTTGGCCCGTTCCACAGAGGAAAGAGAAAAAATTGGTACTCCCTATTCTACCCTTCCTACAAACGCTCCTGGAGCAGGGAATTTGAAATGGGGGAAGAGTTTTTTCCACCCTGCTATTATATGTTTTTAATTTAAAAGGATACAACAAATGTACTTAGTGTGATTGGTTATGATCCTTGCCTTTTTTTAAAATGGTCATGGTTCGAATCCCAGTATGTATCTTTTTAATGAATAAAAAAAAGTAATTGTGAAGACCAAAATGTCTTTCCTACTTTCACTCTCGTTGCAGGAAATTTGAATGGGGCTCCCGTTTTTCACTTCGGTGTATTATAGTATGTGTAGACTCTCGAGTCTCGCCTGACCAAACAAAGGTAATTATCATAAATGGTGACAAAACTATTTATTTTGTACAAAACGATTATAAATTTTTAATTTTGTACATTTAAGTAATATATGTTTGGACTAATAACAAAAAGGTAATTCTGTCCATCTCCATTCAAAAAACTGTTATATTTGTCCAGTTAGCATGTCACGTCATTTAAGATATTAATAAAAAATTAATGACCAAACCCAAATAAAATAATAATCTAACTGAAAATTCTAATTCTACACGGGAGCAGATCAAGTCAGTAACTGATGGATCAGTAACCCATCAGTAACCCCTTCTCCTGTCCCCACGTGTCAGTCCCCTTTTTTATTTAAATAAAATGCAAAATGTCAGTAAGGTAAAATTGCATTTACCCCTATTTATTGCTGACGCTGACTTTTGACCGGACCATATCACCGTCTCTTTCTCTCTCCTCGAAAAACCTTTAATTTTCCTTCCTTTAATCTTTAACGGACGATTTCTCACTCGTTTTAAGTCGGAATTTAATTTTTTTTGCACAGTTAGATCAGATTAATTGTTCTCTTCAAAATGATATCCACTTTGATATTTTTTGGACACAAAAAATTTGTCAGTTATTACCAGTCTATACCATATGGTATTGACTGATATTAAATAAGAGCATACCATATGGTATGAAATTTTTTTGCCACTTCAATATATATTTCGTTGCTACCCAATACCATATGGTATAGTGTGGTAATATCAATATCTATTTCGTACCACCCAATACCATATGGTATAGTGTGGTAATATCAATATATATTTCGTTACCACCCAATACCATATGGTATAGTGTGGTAATATCAATATATATTTCGTTACCACACAATACCATATGGTATAGTGCGGTAATATCAATATATATTTCGTTACCACACAATACCATATGGTATAGTGTGGTAATATCAATATATATTTCGTTACCACACAATACCATATGGTATAGTATGTTAATATCAATATATATTACTTAAAAGAAAAAAAAAAGGAGGGAGAGGAAAAAAAACTCATCTTCTATCTCGTCTCATTTCCTCCGCAATCAAGAACACCAAACACCAAAAAAGGGAGAAAACCCGAAATTGAGGCCAGCGAGTTGATAAAGAGAAAAAACGCAATAAAAGAGAGTGGCTGCAATTTTTCTTCGTCGATTGCTGGAGAAAAAAAAACGAAAAAGAAGAGAAGGAAGCATATCTAGATGTGGAGAAAGAGATTGGAAAGAAAAAAGGAAGAGAGAAAAAGAAAGGATCTGAAAAGAAGATTGGGAGAGAGAAGGGAAGATAGAAGGAAGGGAGAAAGAGAAAAAAGAGTTGCAGAGAAATGATTCTCTCTCTTCTTTTGAAAAGACAAATCATTAAAAGTGGTATCCTTTTTTTAAAAAGAAGCCATTAAAATCGGAATATATTTAAAATTAAAATTAAAATTTATAAACGGACAAAAATACCCTTCTGGACCCCGCATTCAGCCAGCCACATGATGAATCCGCCCCCTAGATCTACGGTGTGCGTGCATTTACTGATAGGTCAGTAACCATTGAATACTGACTCTATCCTAGACCATTCTACACCACCCACCCGAAGTTATGGAGACAGAACCAGTCTGTTACTTTCCTTTTACAGATGGATTCAGCTCCCAAAGAACTCCAATAATCAAATCTTTATCTGCTTTGCCAGAGGAAAGCCCTTGATGTCGAATCGCCATGTTAAACCCAGGCTGGCAAATTCTCAATTTATTTCCTTGTTAGGTATAAAAAGGACTACGCCTTTTGAAACTAAGGGGTTGTTTGGAAGTTGTGATTCTTCAAATTGATGTATTGGGACAATTAGTGTATTATCATTTGATGCATTGAATCAATTGATGTATTAGGTAAATATCTTGTTTGGAGGTTTAGATTGTGTTTTTGTTCCAAAGGTAAAAAAGTTAGTATTGAGTGATTGTGAAGAATCTCAACAAAAAGTAGATATTGTAAATCCCTCAATATTGAGTGATTGTGGTGGGGCCTCCAAAAAGTAAATGCATGTATTCTAGTTCTATATAAACAAAAAAAACGACTTAATCTCACAAATACATGAATTAGATCAATACACTATTTGAAATCACAACTTCCAAACGACCCCTAATTTTGGTGGAAATTGGGAATTTTTTTGTAAACGAAGAATGAACGAGCAATATGAGAACAGGGGACTGGGGAGGCAATTGGTCATCGTCGCCAGAAACCCAATCGAGAACAACCGGCCTTCGTCCTTGGTGCGGAGGCACTCTCGCTAGAATCTTATGTCCGGGGTGAAGCGGAAGAAGGAGGCGAAAATGGTATCCCAGGGGTGATTGGAGGCGATGATTGGGTAAGCAACATAGGGATGGTGAATCGTCTTCAAGGCCGGGAGGAATAGCTACCGGTCGCCGCCTGTGGTATCAAGTGAAGGGTGGGGACTGGGGAGGAGATGGAGAAATGTGATCAGCCATATGGGAGTACTGGCTTGGACGACGAGGATTGTTTTGAGAGAACGCCGGAGATTACGTAATTGGAATAATAAGGCAGGGAAGGAACCCATCAGGCTTTCGACATTGGGCGTTTGATAAAGCTCAAACCTTTTGGAACCTTCTTCCCTACCACTAGTTCTTGCTGGAATGGGGACGAAGGAAAACCTTGGGAGCTGAATTGGGCAAAGGAAAGTGACAATTGGGTTTGGGTGGGTATAAAATTAGGATTTTTGTTTGGATTATCTGTTCAATTAGGTTTGGTCATTAATTTTTTATTAATATATTATATGATGTGGCGTGCTGACTGGACGGAAGTAATGGTTTTTTGGATGGAGATTGACGGAATTACCTTTTTGTTATCAATCCAAACATATGTTACTAAAATGTGCAAAATTAAATGTTTGTGACCGTTTTGTACAAAGTGAATAGTTTTGTTACCATTTATGATAATTTAAAGATGGTTGGGTGGCGTGGTTGTCAAACCGGTTGCATACTCGGCGAACGGTGGTACAACTTGGTTTAACCGATATTGGTTATAAATCTCGCTGTAATGTTATTAGTAAGAACGACATGATCGATCTCTAAATAAAATGACGTTTTGTGAATTTAATTAAGAAAAAAATT